CTGCCTGGAGGAATGCCACCTTCTGCCGTGAGTACCTTCTGCCTTGCTGTTGCCGGAGGGGGAGGTGCTGCTCCCCATGCCCAGACCCTCTGGCCAAAGCAAGTCTTTGGTCCTCCCCTTCCAGAAGGTCGCCCTTCCTTGAAGGCTTGCTGGGCCTAACTGTCCCCTTCCATTGCAGCCCTGCCATGCGATGCCAACAGCTACTATGACCCTTGCATGACCGGCTGTCCTGCCACCTGTGTTGACCGAGAAGCCCCACAGAACTGCTCCAAGCCCTGCGTGGAGGGCTGCGCGTGTACCTCTGGCTTCCTGCTCAGCGGAGACACCTGCGTGCCCGAGGCCCAGTGTGGCTGCCTCTTTGAGGGCAACTACTACAGCGTGAGTGAAAACCTTCCCTGGCTTGCACCCTTCCCAGGGCACCCCCTTGCCTCTGCTTTCCCGCCTCAGACGCTGACACTCGGTGTTTCTCTGCCTGCAGCAAGGCGAGTACTTTGTGAGCGAGAACTGCACTCGCCGGTGCCGCTGTGAGGCCAACGGCCAGATGAATTGCTCTGCGTTGTCCTGTGGTGAGGACGAGGTCTGCAAGATCCAGAATGGCCAGAGGGACTGTTACCCGGCCAGCACCGATCTCTGCCACATCTACGGCGACCCGCATTACAGCACCTTCGATGGGAAGCTTCACCACTTCCAGGGCTCCTGCAACTACACGGTGGTGACGGGCTGTGGCAACTCCTCTGTTGGCTTCACTGTCACCACCCGCAACAAACATCGCGGCAGCCCGACCTGGACAGCTCTGAACTCTGTGGCACTGTCCATGGAAGGCCTCCACATTGCGCTGCGCCAGAACAAGGCGGTCTACGTAAGCCCCTCGTTTTTACACCTGGGAACAACAGATGCCCGAGGCACCATTAAGTACCCCTCTGTCCCCAAGTGGAGCTTGAGATTCCCTGAGCCTGCTGGCGTGCTCACAGAAGGGCACGGCAAGGCTGTGAGCGGGGCAGATATGGCTGCTCACACTAGAGCAGGTGTTCAGCT